GTGAGGTGGTGGCGGTGGTGGTGGCACCGACACCTTTCTGAGGGTCTCTTTTTCTTTTTCCCTTTTCCCAAGGCCATAATGCAGGGGGAGTACGTCTCCAAGCCCGTGCTGCAAGTCATCGTGAGTACTGTGTTACCGCGTGTGCCAGGCGGTGGGTCAGGGACTGCGTGCATGTCCACGCGGGCTCCTGAGCGCAGCCAACAAGGCTGATGTGCTTTTAATTTTGTTTTATCTGACTTGGGCTGTGCTGTTCATATCAGTGCTCAAAAAAAGAAGAGTGGAATATATAGGTCAGTTGCTAATGATGTCACTTTAGGTTTTCGAAGAGTTTCTGAACAAATGAGAACTCACAATCTGGTGTTTCCATATAGAATACACGGGCTATTGCTACAGGAAATGGGCCACCGCGTTACCGGGTGTTGATGAGCGATGGGGTTAACACACTTTCCTGTAAGTATGACAAGCTGTAGTGAGATTTTTGTAAGTTTGGACATACCAGTGATGCTAAAGTTTCCAGTCTAGGTGCAAAACAGTGAAACGAGTATTCAAGGTGAACGTGACTTATATGGGGACCACAGACTCTGAAGTGTGCAACTGCCTTTTAACACTTGAACAAAATCCTTCTGTTCTGGAACTTTCTGTGTGAACTTTAAGCAATTAACTCGCTATAGGGTATAATGAAAATATAGAAACCTACACGTTTCTGTAACAATGATTTTAAAGTAATTTAGCTTAATCTTTCTCTGACTTCTCTGATATATGATCATTCTAGCTATCACTGCACTCTGAAGTTTGAGGAATAAATACAGTATAGCTTATGCTCAGTTTTGGTGACTCATTAGCAGTTACACTGTTTTCTGTGTGTTAACTAACTGAGGAAGTTGTAGATCTAACGGAACACTAGCCTGGCTGGAAAAGTTGGGGCCAGCTATGGCAGCCCCATTTAAAGCTGGCACATGTTAACTGTTTCAATGTTTTTCTTCTGTTTCTGCAGCATTCATGTTGGCAACACAGCTGAACTCTCTGGTGGAAGAGGAACGCTTATCAGCCCAATGCATTTGCCAGGTTAACAGATTCATTGTCAACAGCCTGAAAGATGGAAGGTACATGTATTTCTTAAAGTACAGTTCTACAGTGAGGCAGCTGCACTAGTGGGGGCTCTGTCTGTCGTGACTAAGCAGAGGCCAAACGCTTCTGATTGAGATTATCTGAAAATACTCAGTGTTTAGGGTGAAGGAGGGAAAGAACACAGCACAAGCAATAGCAGAAATAAATTACAGAATGTGACTGCAGTGGGTTCAGACTTGTCTAATACAGAGATTGAGTAATGTAGAGTTTCCACTTGGAATACTCAAAATTGTACAGAGCTTCATTAAAATTCACTTAAGATTATCTGCTGTGGAAAAGAAACAGTGAAGATTTCTTGTTACTTAGGTGTTGTGGAATCTGGTCTGTCTTTTATGAAAATTTGAGGGAAGGGAGGTGGGATACTGCAAAATGAGCAGGGATCTGAGTAAAGGAATTATAGAAAAACTATGTATGTGTCTAGAAGAATGTGAACTGAGGTTCTATGTCTTTTTATTCAGTGTTTTTGTGGAAGGAACATAACCCCTTTTGAGGCAGGGAACATATTCTTGTAGAATCTGGCACGGTTTTGATACTTTTAAAACATGACGTCGTTTCAAGCTATTTTGTGTGCCTATTCGGCCTGTTACTGGCTGTGATTGATGAAATGTGATACTGTTTAAAGCCTACTTGTACCTCATGAGAGGGTTAAGTTGGCAGTGGAGAGCTTTTGTCTTCCAGATCCCTCTTCCAAACAATCAGTCCCTAATGGTTGTTTCTCTTATCTGCTGAAAACTATGTTCAGAGTCTGATAGGCTTGCAGAGGGAGTGAAAGTCTTTATTGCTGTCTATTCTATATTTGTAGGAGAGTGGTTATCCTGATGGATGTCAATGTTCTGAAAACTGCTGATAAGGTTGGTGGGAATATTGGCAATCCGGTGCCATACAATGAAGGTGAGTGTCCTCTGTAAACAAATACCTTTCTGACCAGACTGTCTGTTAGGATAGCTTTTCAGCTGTTTCTTTCACTTAGAAAGAAGCAGTCAGACATGTTCAGCTTTCTTATGCCTCAAACAGTGATATCCAGCTCTTGAAAATCCTTTCTGCTTGTGTAATACAAAATGGCTTTTGTTCATATTTTAATAAACTTTACATCATGGCTGAAGCTTCATCTCTGCGTGGTATGGGGAAGAATCTATACCTGATGATAACATTGACAGGTTTTTATTATAGGTTAGTGGTCTCTACCTAGAGTTCCAGTAAGTATGTGGAAGCTGTTCTGTGTCTCTTCATAATGAGTAACCAAATAGATGAGTATTTCTTGTGTCTGGAAAGAAAACAGCAGGAGGAAGATGTAATAATGATCTGTAAAACTATAAGATGGCATCAAGTGGATGAATAGGGAATGATGACTCTCCCCTTTCTTTTCTACATTCACTTGATGCTCTTTAGTGCTCACATTGTCAGGTAGGGGTGTTAAAACAAAGGCTGTACCACACAGTTAAATTGTGGAACTCGTCGAGGTAGGTGCCAAAAACTGGCACAGGTTCAGAAAGCAATTAGATGTGAAAGAAAAATCCATTAAAGGCTGTTAAACATAACAATACATCCTCTGCATGAATGTTAGGTTCAGGAAGCATTAAAACTTAGATTGCTCGAAGTACATGGATGAGAGACTGGTATGAAAACACGACCAGCATACAGAGGTTCCACCCTGCCCTCTGAGAAACCGTGATGTGCTGGGTGGGCCTTAATCTGACCCGCCATCGATCTTTTGGTTTTATTATGTTGCATAAGTAACTGTGTTCTTCGTTTTCATGTGCTGAGCTTACAGTTCTCAGGCAAAGTTTTTTTTTTTTAATTATTTTTTTTTTCCCTGCTGAGATGTTCAAAAGTTTGTTCATTCCTTCCAGTTCTGATCTTTAAAAAAAGAGAGAGGATAATAAACACTTAAAGAAAATATTTGAACAGCTCTGTCATTGACATCTATACAGATAATGGCTGAAACTTCATAGCAAATAGCTCTGGTGGAAGTGAATTAATATATTTTTATTACTAAGGGACCACGCATTAGTGGCAACAATTTTCTGTAGGATAGTTTGGACAAACAGTGGTGGTAGGTACACTGCTGTTCTGGTTAAAAATCTACTTTACTATTCGAAGTAGAAACAAGACTTTGTTGCAAAGGCAGAGACATCTTTCTTCATTAACTTTTCTTTTTCCTAGGGAATTAGAGGGGCGTTTGTTAAATGAGCCTAAAGAATCCTTTGTTCCTTAGATAGTTACTTAGCTAATTGCTGTTTAAAAAATGTGTTGACATCTCAGATTTTATAGTTTAATCCCACAGTTGCTGTAGAGACCAAGATTTTCAGAATAGCTATTGAGCAGACTGTTTTGTGTCTTCCTCCCATTTCCCTTGCTTGTGTTATACAAGAGCTTGTGAACGATAGTGTTTCTCAGTTTGTCATATTGTTGCTTAGAAACGACTGGGAACGTGATATTTTACAGAACTGAGCTGCAAATATACCTTTAAGAGTATAAATTATTGTAGAATTGCTGTGACTTTGAAAGTTACGTTCTTTATTTGGGCTTACAAAAGTACTCAGCAATGAAGTTTTCAAGTCTAAATGCTTTTGGAGATGTTACAGGTTTGGGATGACAGTTAAGTGTGGTCTTGCATTAGATGGTTAAGACATGTCAAATTTGATGTGATGTGTATTTCATTTTAACACTGATGTCATTCTGCAGGCTTCATACCCTTCTATTTGATGTTAAATAAGGTTTCAGTTACAGAAGGTGGTAACAGTTTAGGTTAGGTATGCTTAACCCTGCCTTTCTGCTCTGCAGGGCTGCCTGATTTGTCATCAAGGCCTTGATAAAATGGCAGAGGTGTGTTTCAACTTGCAGATTCTTCAAGTTCCAGTATATATTGAGAGATTGTCTTTTTGAGGAACACTCAGCTAATGCAGAATGAGTATCTAAGAGCACTTTGTGGTTTTCACAGGAAAAAAGTTCAGGTATTTTAAAAAGAATGTTGACTCTTGGTCAGCGTTGGTGCTCTTGGGCTTCCTTGAAATACAGATCTCAAGTTGCTAGACCTAGGATTATGGAATATTCTTTCCTAGGCTGTAATACCACAGGAGGACCCGGGGAGTGAGAAGCTGGCTTTTGGCCACTTCACACTTGAGCAGTAGGAGGTTAATCTGCCTAACAAGGAAGCTGGAGACACAATCTTCTTAATACATATCATAAAAACTTTTCAGGCAGCATTTCATAATAGTATTGAAAATTAAGATTGAGCAGTTTAGTACTTGTTGAAAACTAGATGGTAATGTTATTACTGTCATTAATCTCACTCAAATTACTCTGATGCTGGACTTTCTTCTTACTATGACAATTACTTGCTACTTATGCTTAACTTCTGTCATTAATCTTTCAGTGTTGGAGTGTTTGTGTACTTGCACATTCACTTGAACTCTTTATTCTTGCCCTTCCCACTATTGTGATTTGGTGTGTGTTCTTTCAAAGTGCATTTTCTTTCCACTTCCTCCTCCCCTCATGCTGCTGCTCGGTTCTGGAACAGGTCTGTCACCATGGCACTGTAGGAGTACTTCTTGGTAACAAATAATTGGAAACACAGGACTGCTGTTACATTAGGGTGGGCTGCATGGCTAGTTTTGGCCGAAGGTCTTGGGTTCCACTAATCCCCTATATATAGCAAAAATGTGATCAGATATTTCAAATGTTTTTTCAGCTTCTGCTAATAAAAAGTAACAGTAAAAACCAGGCAGAGGAGTCATTTTTCTGAGCACCTTAAGTGATCTATAGGCCACCAGCCACCAAAAATCATAGTTTAGGAGTCTCTAGACTCTACAAGTGAGAAAATTGGAGAGATATTTCTGCTACTTCTGTGTTTGAACACATGCACAGACGTGTTAATATATTAATCTGTTGAGAAACACCAGGCTGTGGGTAGGCAACCATTAAAATGTGATTTTGTGTTTAATAATACACAAGTGTCCTAATGTATGTGATGGTCTTTTGTTTGGTTTTTGGTAAGAGGGTTTTAATTAAAAAATCCTAAGAAAAAAAACGTTTGGAACGAAAGTAGCAAGGAAGTCTCTTGCTGTTGTAGATGCACGTTCCTGTTCTTGAATATTCTCTCTCTGTCCAGACATATTTTAATGTGTTTTCTTTGTTTGTTTTTCCTTCATCCCTTACACAAAATGGGGTTGGGGTGTAGAGCACTGACCCTGACTGAGTCCTCCGAGTACCCAAGGCAGAGCCAGGGTGAAATCTGGCTTCTCCATCTAGCGGAGTCCGCAGTAAATACACATCGCTGTTTGACGTCACTCTGTTGCTAGGGAGACCGCTGTCACCAGTTCACCGATGTGACTCTACTGCGGCAAGTTAGAGGAGCAGATCGGTTTGTGTGCAAGGACCTTGTTTTGGATTAGAAATAACCGGAGGGTTACCTCTGTAGACTGCACAACATCAGGCGGCACTACATCAGGGTCTCCTTGTGTTGCTTCCGCTCCTTTTCCTTACTTCTGTGCCATCCTTTCTTGCCGTTCTGTTCTGGGGTTCCCTGCGTTTGTTCCCTGTGATGCTTATGGGCTCAGTCTGACCTTTTCCGCTTTCTCTGTCTTCTTCCTCGCGCTCCAGATCAGGGAGCCTTTGCCTGCTCAGGCCTGGGACTTCCTGCAGACCAATGGCTTAAGAATTTGTTGCATCTAAAAAGATGAAAACGTTGGATGTTTTTCTCATCTGCAGGCAGAACACGATAGGACAATTATTCTGTAAAGGAATTTGAACTGTAGATTAGTCTTCTAATGTACTGTTTCTCTAGATATGCCATTCTGGTCTCTCTTGTAATTTATCATCACTATAAGGCAAGTAAAAGTCCTGGAATCTTACAAAAAAATCAAAAAAGCATGATACGTACTTACTATGGCATCACTTTGCTCCCTATGCAATGTACTGCTGTGTCCCAAGAGGGACCCTGGTGAATGCTGAAATGACGACTCCATCAGCCCCACATCAAATATCTTTGTATTTCAGAAATAAAATATAGCAGGTGTTTTCTTTTGTCTTGTGTTAACTTCAGGTTTGACTTTACCTGGTGGGTTTTTGCCCCTTTCTGAGTTTTAAGAGGGAATTCTCCTACAGTTTTTATCTTAGCTGTTAGGTAGTTGCAGAAACTACCTGTCAGAGCAATAGAGGCCTATAAAAGCTGAGAAGTTGTCAAGATTACTTCAGTGCTGTCCTCTTAAATAACTGTCAACCCTGAATTCTTTCGAAGTAGAAAGCAGTTGCTTGAGGAAAGAGATCTGACTGAAATTCCTCCATGGTGATATTGTTCAACAGAGAGCTTGCTGCTGCTGTGTCTTAACACCTGAATTTTAGCGTGTGTTCTCTGTGCTTTAAATTATTTTTTTCACACAAGTTCTATTTCCTAAAAAGACTTAAGGGTGGTTTTAATTACTGTGCTCCCTACTGTACGACGTGGTTTCTTTCCATTTGATTACCAGGGCAAGGGCAGCAACGTTCTTCAGCTCCAGCAACAAACCCAGCACCCAGCAAACCACAGCAACAAAATGACAATTTGTCAGCAGCAGGTAAGAGTAATCCTGAGCAGGAATTCTTGTTTCCAGTGCAAAATTAGAGCTTAAATTTAAGAGATCCCTCTATAATGGTGTTGCACAAGAAACACTCCATTAAAGGCTAACCTGTAGCTTGACAAGGTGAATTCTCAAGAGACTACTGTAAGCTTGGGGTTAATAATAAATTTTTTAAAAGGGGGGAAAAAAAAAAAAATCTATCTCCCTTCCCTCCTCTTCTCCAAGGGGAAAAAGAAAAAAAGGAAACAACTTTGAAGCAGTGTAAACTGAACATCTAGTCTGATGCAATTTTACATTCTTGAAGCAGTGCTCTGTGGGTACCTACGTAGGCTGCAGTTTGGAGCTGGCCAACAGGTGTGTTACTGATGCTGAGATGTTGAGGCCAAATAGTTTAGGTGGCACGAGACTGAAATTATTTGATAGTACATCTGTAAATGCAGGTTTTTGATCAAGACTTTAAATAATGAGGTACTGAAAAAGGCAGTCAATTTAAATGTCAGCCTGTAGACTTTTTTTTAAGCAAAAAAGAAAGCTGTCAGCCCTAACTCTTGGTACTTCTTTAACCTGTCTATATTCTTTACCCCTGCATTTGAAAAGTATTTTGAAATGTTGACGCTTGCTTATTGCAGCAGAAAACAAGCTCTTCCTGTACTTAAAGCTGATCATAAGTTCCCTTGGTTGTCCCCCCCAAAATGGTGTAGATCTAAAGCTTGATGTGCCATGTTTTGGAGAGCTTGCTGCTAACTAGCTGTTTCCCACTTAGACTGCGTTGAAGTGGTTGACTCTGGACACATCTCCACTACCAGTGTCAGTGCTCTAAAGGTCTGAATGTGTCTGTCTTCTGTGGCTGTTTGCAGCCTAGAAAATACTTATGACCAAGAGCAGAAGTGATTGAACAAACTTGCAGCCACTCTGTGGTGCCCACGTGGCACAGTGAGTGGAGCTTTAAGTGCCCACCCAGTGCTAAGTGTAACTTTGCCTTCTATGCAGCTCCCCACAGCGCGGTGGGAGAACTTCTGCCTGACCTTGCAGCGTGAGTTGGGTTTAACCTGGCTTTTGTCTGCAAGGCTGGAATTCTTTATGCTTTGTTGTGGTTTTTTTGGAAGGTCCTGCTGCTCCGAAGTACCATGCTCCCTCAAACCAGTTTGGGAAAGCGAGCGCTCCCAGCTCAGTGAAGACACCAGGGGGATCGCAGGCCAAAGTAGTGCCGATTACCAGCTTGAACCCGTACCAATCTAAGTGAGTTCTCGTGGTTTGCCAGGTTATTACTCAAGGTCACGGGCATGGAGGAACAATAGCTGCTTTTTGCTCTCTCGTGTATGAATCTCCATTAAATCATTCTTAGAGTGCTTTTGAGTTTATTGGTTAACTTCAAATAAACAGAACCAACATTAACAACAAAACCATCCCCAAAAAAACAAGCAAAAATCCCTCCACAAAAACAGCTGTACAGGTTTTGGTTTGGTTTTTGTTTCTCATTTGTGGTTTTTGGGTTTGTTTATTTTTAGGGGGGTGGAGGTTTGGGGGTTTTTGTGCCTTTTTTTTTTTTTAATTTCATCAACACTCTGACAATCTGAGATTTGCCTTTGCATTGTCTTGGTGAAGTTACCCTGCTGAGCTTCATAGGCTTTTAATATTTTAGTTGAAAATCAATTGACTTCTCTTTTTTTTTCTGAAAGCAACCTTCTTTTTGGTAACTTAATGACAAAACAGCTCAGTAAGCTATTCACTTCGGCTACTGTTCTCTTGAAAAGCATGAGGATGTAATTATTTCGTGAATGACATTTTTAAGTTATGCAAACTGATTTGATTACCCAAGTTAAATGTGAATCCTATAATTGAGCTCTTGAGTTCTAGCATGGCTTTTCAGAACAGGCTGTATGAGAAATGTACCCTAGAAGAGTGAAAGATTTGAGGTCTGCTTCTCTGCAGAAGGATTGTTCGCTACTATTATCATACTAGATGCTTTATGGCTGGCTTTGTTGCTTTCTCTACAACTTTCTGCCGTTTAATGGTGTAGGCCATTAAAATAGAAAGCAGCAGAAAAGCAGGTAGAGTTGCTGAGGTGCAGTGGAAAGATTCTGGCTTTTAATAGTGACATTCCAGTTCCAGAGGTTTGTCGATTCAATCTCTTCTTTTTAAAAAAAAAAAAAAAAACACCAAAAAAACCCACAACAGAACAGTGATCTCTTGCACGATTTCAGGTGGACCATTTGTGCTCGTGTTACCCAAAAAGGCCAGATCCGCACGTGGAGCAACTCCCGCGGTGAAGGAAAGCTCTTTTCTATAGAGCTAGTTGATGAAAGCGTAAGTGTCATACGTTGAGAAAAAGATAATGTATGCCAGATGCTGATGAACCCTTCATAAAGACAGAATAGAGGAAATAAAGTGTATTATAGGAAATGTTTTTTTTATTACAACTGAAGCTTGTGTTCTTGTATTCATTAAATTGAGCATCAACGACTCAGTTTTTATCCGGAATGAAGTCTTAAATGTATAGCATTACTGATTATTTTTCATCAAAGTCTATAGTGTGTGACTAAATTTTTGCAGCTTCAAAATATAGTTCTTTATGGAAACTGACTTAGGTTTTTAGTGTTTTCCTGTAGATTGAGAATGAGCTCTCATCCTTGCCTAGATACACGTTACAAAACAAGGAGTGAGGAGCATTGCCACCAAGTTATAAGCTTTCATTTTCACGAGGAAATCGGAGTACAAATTGTTGTAATACTAGGAAATTTCATCTGTGGTTTGTTTGGGGAACTGTATCTGGTTAATCTGACTAAACTTGGGGTTTGTCAAACCTCTTATCAAATTACAGCCTTCTGTCGCGAAAACAAACAAGATTCTGCTAGATTATGTTTAGTATAAAATGTGAGGTTAATAATGTAGCATGTTGTCATCAGCCATTTGTTTTCTCTGCATACAGTCAGTATTCAATTAAAAAAAAAAAAAAATTCAGTGAGTTTATAATTGTTACTAATTATTACCGAAAGACTTGCTATCATGTATGAGTGGGAGATATCACAATATACTGTGTGCTAACTTGTGGAGCTGCATGAGCTGTTTGAATTATTTTTTTTTTTGTATGTGATGGCAATTAATGCCAGTTTTAAGAGTACATTCTCAGAGGTGTGTATGTGCTATGTGTAGTTTTTAAGCATTTCATTCTGAAGCTCTGCATATAGTAATGAGACCTGAATATGAGATTTGATGGTCAGGTGTAGAATCTGTTGGTTTAGCTGTAACTACAAATGTGAGGAGAATGTTGTTTGTTTCTCACATGCCTGGAGCTAGCCTGGCAGGCCACGCCGTGTCTGTAGAACTGATGCCACTTAACATTGCAAAGATTTCTTTTTATTTTTTTTCATGCTGAATTTCAGTTCTGACCAGCTCTCCTATTTTTCTGCAGGGAGAAATTAGAGCTACTGCATTCAATGATCAAGCAGACAAGTTCTTTCCACTGATTGAATTGAACAAGGTATGGTAGCATTGTGCTTTCGTAGACTGACATGAGCTAGAAAGAGGAACTTCAGCATAGCAAGGATTTTTAATGGTGAACACAATCTGTTTTCTCTGTCTACTTATTTATAATACCCTCTGTTTCATTGCTTTCTCCTGCAGGTATATTATTTTACCAAAGGCAATTTGAAGACTGCTAACAAGCAATATACAACTATTAAGAATGACTATGAGATGACATTCACTAATGAGACTTCAGTTGTGCCCTGTGATGATGCCCAGCACCTTCCATCTGTTCAGTTTGACTTTGTATCCATCTCGGACTTGGAGAACACACCCAAAGACTCACTTGTTGGTCAGTCTGAGTAGCAAAATGGCAAGCTCTAAAGCTTTGAAGTTTTACTTTTGCGTCCTAAATACTGGGGAGGTAGTGAGCATACAGTGCTTCAAGTGTTGTGATCTCTTAAATGAAGTTGTTCAGTGATGGCTGCCATTTAAAAATACTTTAGGCAGTTCTCCTGTCAACATGTCTTTGCCCTGTTCTGCTACCAATATATAATGATTTTTCTTCAAACTTGTGCTTCAAACTAAAGACAGTAAATGATATTTGTTTATTGTACTGTGATCATTGTTTTTCACAGAAAAGGGCTGAAGGAAAAATGTCCTTGCTCAGCACATGTGCATTTCATACCTTCTATGGTCTTGCTTTCTTTCACTGTCTAATTATCTCTGTAGTGATTTTAGCATAATTCATTGCATCCAAGTCCAAGTTGCATGACTGTTTTGGCTTGCTTTGTGAAGTATCGGAGGTTTGTTTTTCTGTAATTTGTTGGGCAGAGTACTCCGGAAAAATCAGAGGCTCGGGTGGGGGCGAGGCTTCTCAGGTTTCACAGGCACAAGATGCCTGTGATTCAGAGGCATTCAGCTAGGAATTTTAAAGGTAGATCTGTAATAGTAAAAATTTTTTTTTTTTTTTAGGGAATGCAAAGGGGATTGCTTTAGCTCTTACTACCCAAATGTGCACACTTGTTTAAGTTGCAGCTTATGGTCGTGGGGCTACAGTGAAGGCACTAGCCAGCTGCTTTTTTGTGTTACAGTCACTCTGAAACCCTTTTCCTGAGAGACTTGTGCTTAAACAGCAAGTGTGTGTTACGGGATCAAGGCTGAAGTCCTTTGACAGAACGAGATGGGAAAAGATAGTACAATGCCTTGATCTTGCTAATGTGGTGGGGCTTGCATTCATGAATATCTTAATGAATTCGTCAACAAAATTAAAGCACTGAAAATTCTGTAGTGGAGTATTCCTACCATAATACACTTAATTTCCATATCAGATTTGATTTGAATAGGGAGCTAGGATACAAGGTAAAAATCTGGCACTTGGTTTGAATTCTTTGCTTGTGATGTTGTATTCCCCAATTGTGACCCCTGAGTAACTCTTAAATTGTGCCCGTTTTTCAGATGTAATCGGAATTTGTAAGAGCTATGATGATGTCACTAAAATTACAGTGAAAGCTAACAACAGGGAGGTATCGAAGAGGAACGTGCATCTGATGGATACATCAGGGAAACTGGTGACAGCTACCCTATGGGGAAACGAGGTGTGTGCTCCCTTACCTGTTCCTAAGCAAAAGTTCCTTTCTATAGGATGACGAAATGAGTGTGCTGTTGTCATCTGGGATGGGCATACCACTGAGACAAAGTCCTGAGTGTTTGAGGATCAGGGGCAGAAAGAAGGTGAAAGACTGTCTGGTCTCATTCAGGTGTGATTTGTTAACCTTTCTCTGACAAACTGATGACATGATCTGACTAATGTGTTCTGAACAACTGCAGACACTGTGTCTCAAGCCCAAAGACTGAAGATAACAGGCTTCTATTTAGGAAAGAACACGAATTGCAGTTTGATTATGGAAAAGCCCGGTGGGCTATGGCTGTCTTGTTTGAGATGAGTTTTATTTGTAGGGTGGGATATATGTTGCCCTGCATAAATTGCTGCCTAACTAGGGGGCTGAGAGCCTGTATCTCAGACTAGGAGTTTAAAGCATCAGAGCCGCCTTGGAATCGGAAGTTTGAGTAGTTGGGGCAAACTGCTTCTTTATCCTTTTAACGGGCTACTTTGTTTTCAAGCAGTGTTGTAGGTACTTAAGGATTTATGTCCCAGTCTATAAAATGGGAGTGATCCTGCCAGCTTGACAGTGATGCTTTACGGCTAAATGATCAAGTGCACTGATATTATAGGTAGCTAAACACCATTAACCATCTGCTGATATAAACGAAGTAAACTGATGTTCAGCATCACAAAGTTTTGAGGTTGAACCAGGTTGTTATGGGAGAGGCTACTGGTAATCAATTTCTGACATAACGCTTCCAACAGAGATCAGGGTGTGTGTTTAACAAAGTTAAATCTGTTTGCTTGCTTATAGAAAAGAGACAACAAGCATTGAGGGGAAGTGACCTACAGCTTGCAGCTGGCACAGTTGGGGTTAGAATCTCCATCTTTATAACAGTCATTGCCCTAACTGCTGGGATATGTTTTGTGTTCTTTTTGCATCTCATGGATATAGTGAATACTACTAACTCCAGCTCATTTGTAATCTTTAAGCACATGATCCTCTCCTTGCTTGCTAAGTGGTGTGGGGTCCAGAAAAATCTATACCTTTTAAACCCTCTCTCATGCCAAGAGGTTCTTTGTTAGTGTCAGACTTTACTCAGACAACAAACTGAAGGCAATTGAACAGCATTAAAGCAGCTTTATAAAATTAAAACCAGAAAATGGGAAGTCAAGAAAAAGCACTTGATCACCATACCTACACTTCTGCTTTTTAAGTTATAGTAGAGTAGACATGATCAGCTCAATCAAGCCAAGTGAGTTGTTTCATCTCCCGAAGTGTCTAATCTGACCAAATGATTTCTTCTGTTTGGAGAAACCTCCATTCCGGTAACCCATATCCCTTTTTAAAATCCTTGTGTAAAACTCCTAATGAAGGGGACCAATCCTTTTTTTTCCAAACCAGTGGTATGACTTAAGGTGTGATTTAAGGGTTCTCTGATTCCTTGGGAAATGAGGATTACAGCTTTAATTGTTAGCTGCCTTTTCTGAAACTCCTAGTGGTATCATTTAAAATTTTACCTTCTAAATACAGTTAAGACAGTTTGATTCAGATTTGGTCTTTTGTCATGGTCTGTGTGTTATGACCCTAAGTTCAGTACCTTTCCTCTAGTGTCTTACTCATGTTTTGTTTTTTTCACACATGCAGGCTGAACAGTTTGATGGTTCTAGACAACCTGTGGTAGCCATCAAAGGAGCCCGAGTCTCTGATTTTGGTGGCAGAAGCCTGTCTGTCCTGTCCTCGAGTACAGTTGTCATCAACCCCGACAGCCCAGAGGCTTTTAAGCTCCGAGGATGGTATGACTGTGTGTTTGTGTCGGTTGATTTCAGCCTGCTGCAGAGTGTTTGTTTTATTCTGTTTCTCTGTACTTGAGCAACTCGTGTAGTACTGGAGAAAGGTAGCAGAGGATGTGGGTTCCAGAGTTATAGAAAATTCTCTTCCTTGAAAGCACTAGAGCCTAAAAGACTGTCCTTTTTAAGTTTTTTCAATTCAGAAACTTATAATTCCATGACAGACCTTGCAAAATTGAAATAGGAGTAGTGTATGCTGACCCAAAGCCTTGGAAGGCAGCATGAAATCACACTTGACCAGCTCCACGTTCTGAGACGTTATCTGAGGGACCAATATTTTTTTCACAGGCTTTTTCCATTGTGTGGAATCTGATATGCAGCTCTTAGTATGGACTAGAGGAACTATGTTGACTTTTTCCAGTGTCTATTCCTTATCAGATATTTTTTCAGATAGTAAAATAACATTTTTATTGTTGTCAGGAAAACAAAGCGATTTCTTTGTGGTTTGTTGCTTCTGCTGTAGGTAGTTGCTAAATCATCTGCTGTAACCACTAACATGGTGTGATGTGGTGTATGTATGACTGGGGTTAAGTGCCGACAGCATCACATTTGTGAATCCTGGGTTTTCAGGTTCTAGTTAAATCACACAAACATGGATGAAATGTAATGGCATTCTCCATTCGTCATCAAGCTGTGGTTCTTCCATACTTCAGAGGGTTGTTGAAGATCAAATTGATTGTGGATCTTAGCTATTTCTGTCACACTTTGATTGAAGTTTGGTTTTTGAGTCTTGGTGTGTTTCTCAAATAACGAAAAAACACCAGAAAGGCAGTACCTTCTGCTAAAAAGCAGTGCTTTCTTATTTTAACAGAGGAAGCCTAATCTGTTCAATGCTATTTGCTTTTCCTTTCAAAGCGGTTGCAAAGATAATGGTACCATGTAATTTAATTTTAATTATGGAAATATCTTGATGCCCTTAAATCTTGTTATCTGACTGCCTTTAAGAAGCATGCAGTGCGTGGTTTGACCACTAGCTGGCAAACAAATTGCAGTTATATAGAACAAAGCTGTCCTCCTTTTGTGGGTTTATAAAATGCTCTGCTAATTAAGTCGGACTATTAACTTATTCTGAAATGCTATTTTTGTTTGCAATATACACAAATTACTGTAATTGTTTCCTTTGCAATCATTGATAAAAAATCCCTCATGTATTAAGTACATGAAACTAAACGTAAGCTTTTGATAAGTCCGTATGGTCAGCTGCCCAAAAATAGAAGTGCATCTTTGTGGTTCCAGGTTTGACTCTGAGGGGCAGCTTCTGGAATGTGCCTCCATCTCTGATGTGAGGGGTGGGCCAATATCTGGGGTGAATACCAACTGGAAAACTTTGTTTGAAGCCAAAGCTGAGAACTTGGGACATGGAGATAAGGTAAAGCGTGGCCACTGAGTATAAGCCTTGTGTTTTGGGGGGAAAATAAAAAGCTAGACCTTATGCAGGCGTTCTGCTTGTTGAAGTAGAGCAGTATGCGCTTACTCTGTCAGAATTTATGCTATTAAATAACTTTTTTTCCAAAGAAATTCAAGCTTGTTGCTGATATTGCAAAATGATATTGTGTTTGCAAGCAAATTCTAAGTCTCATATAAATAGGGGCAGGGGGGGAGTTCACCCCAAAGATGTTTATATAAATAGCACACAGTGTTCTAGGAGAAAGAGGAGCATTAGGAGGAAGTGGTTTTCAAGGGTGCATGCTTGGTCAGTAGAAAAGCTAGGAATAAAACTCAGATCTCTGGCATTCCAGTCCAGTAACCTCTCTAGGCTTATTCTGCTGCGTGACTTATTTTTTTTCTTTTTTATTTTTTCAAACTGAAGTGCTGAGCCATTTGGGGTACACAAGAACTTCTGTCTAAGGAAAAGAACTTTACTTGAAATTCAGCTATTTTCTGTGAGATTTTTTTTGCACATGCTTCTTAAGCAACCTCTGTTTATCTGTTAAAAGACTTGACCGTGGTCTTAAACCATTAGGATGATTATTTTAGTATGGTGAGTGGGTATTTTGTTCTGTAGGCTATAGTTTAATCAAATGCTTATCTGTAATACTACACAGTAGTCTTTCTGGTTTTTGTATTGGCTCCCAAAAGAAGCACAGGAAAGTGCAGAATCTTAATCCTGTGAAAAAGTGGAGATTTGAACAGACACAATAGAGAAGCAAATATGCTTTATCTAAAGAAAACCTAGCAATTGGAGTTTCCTGCAATGGAAACACAAAATAATCTTGCTGTAGGGGCTTTATTTAACATAATGGAAGCCTGAAAATGATTGCAACAGAGGGGTTGATTTACAGTTTCCCAATAATCCATAGCTGTTAAGCTTTCTAATCCTAAATATCCAAGTATGGGTGCCTTGCTTTGTAGTTAATTTAGAATTGGAAAATACTGAGTATTTGGAGGCTGATGTTGCACACTCACTCTCCTAGGCGGATTATTTCAGTTGTGTGGCCACGATTGTACATCTGCGCAAAGAGAACTGCATGTACCAGGCATGTCCCTCTCAGAATTGCAATAAGAAAGTGATAGACCTGCAGAACGGCCTGTATCGCTGCGAAAAGTGTGACCGTGAGTTCCCCAACTTCACCTACCGCCTGCTGCTTCTGGTAAGGGAATGGATTAGAGGAGAGTGTTTGTCACCGTTTGCCTTGTACGGTCCAAACAGGAATCTTGGGAGAGAATGGGGTGTTGGAGTGCTGTTTGTCCCTCTGGTGCCTGTGGGTTAGAGGATATTTAAATTGCTTGTATGGTGTACCTGAGTGAGGGATGTTTCACTGAGCTGATTAGCAGTTTGTTTTCCTAGTGCTCCAATTAAAAGCTTTTCTCTTTGCCAAAAAGTTGATGCTAGCTCAGTTGATTCTGGTTTCCAAGTGTACTATGCAGTGCAGAGTACAGATGGCCCACGCCTCTTCAGTAGTGAAGATAAACTGAAGTAAAATGGCATTTCTGGAGAGCAGTAATTGCACTTTTACAGCTGCTGCCTATATTTAGTACATTTTTTTGGTAGGTATTGTTCTGTCTCATGCTTTAATGGAGCCTGCTTCAGAAAGTTGTCTGAGGATTATTATTGTGATGCCCGCTTACACCATAAGCGTTGAACCTTCTTCTGTTTTACATTATAAGCTATCGTCGTGTCTGCTGCTTCGAAATGCTGTGCCAGGTGGGCATGCAGAGAGGGGAACTATCCCTGCAGTCTCACTAAAACACAAACTGCTTCTGAATAATTCCTAGCAGATAACTTCTAGGAATGCATGAACTGCTTTACATAGCAGAATCATTCTCGTAGAATATAAAGGGGACGCTGAGGTCACAATCTGGGCCTTCAGAACAGCGTGTCTCCTATTTTCCCATTTCTAATTGTCAAAGCAGCCAGGAAATGCATGTGAGGCTTGTACTTGATCTTGTCACTGCTCTGTCTTCTGCTGGAATATTTTGATAGTTTCCTCATAACATAGTATTCCATGTGTTTATGCTCAATTACTCAGGCATGTGCAAAGTAAATGCAGGTTGCGTTTTGCTGGTGTCCCCCTTGGTTGTTAGGTTCTGGGTTACCTGTTCTTGCTCACAGCTCATCAGTGACAGCAGAACAGAGCTGAATATCCACCAGTGATCTTGTTGGCCTTTTCCTGTGGCACAATATACTGTCAATATTAACTTGCATTAAGTTACTGTGACATTCTATGGAGCTCAAAAAAAAAAAAAGGTAGTAAGTTACTACCTTCTACACTCGATGATGGAAAGTACCTATGGTGCATAGGGCTTTGATAGTTACTGGAAATTTAAAACTCTCTTTAGCTGTGAAATAAATCTTCCTTTTGTACTGTCTTCTGTCTTCCTTGAGGAATTGGCAACTGGATTAAGTTAATTTTTTTTTTTTTAGGTGACCATTGCAGACTGTCTAGAGTATCAGTGGGTGACTTGTTTCCAAGAGACAGCAGAATTCATTCTTGGGCATAACGCAGCTTTCCTGGGAGAACTGAAGGAAAAGGTCAGTCAATTAGCTTATTGTATTTTTAGTAAATGTCTAGAAGTTGAACTATGCTTTACACATCTTGTTGTTGGGCTGCCCTCAAATGTTTTGGGTTTTTTTTGATCCTCCTGGTAAGGAAATATTCTTGTAATGTTGACTTTAAAGGCAACTTGGAGAAAGGTGTAAGGTATGTGTGGAACATCAGTGCTGATCCATCAGAGGGCATGATCTCATCCCTGTGCATGCATGTACATCACTCCTGAGTCAGCAGAGATGGCAAAGGCAGTGGGTTACGTTCATGTAGTTGCTGCACTGTGGAAATCAACAGCATTATTAAAACAAATACAAAAGTGCCATATGAAAGAAAGGGATATTCTGCTTCGTTTGGCAAGAATTTGATCTTGCCCATCCTCTAAGTGATAGGCCAGCTTTTAAGGTCCTGGCAACCCAAGATTGTTCTCCAGATGTTGGACTTAAGTATCTTTTACAAGTTCACAAATCCATTGCTTCTCCCTAGTGTGAAGTTCTTGGCAAGGACTTGTTTACTCTCCTCATGATTATTTTCCTCAGGCCATCTGCCTGGAGAACAGAGATTTGCCTCGTTTAGAATCATAGAATGGTTTGGGTTGGAAGGGACCTCAAAGATCATCTAGTTCCAACTCCCCTGCTATGGGCAAGGACACCCTCCACTACACCATGATGCTCAAAGCCCCATCCAACCTGGCCTTGAACACTGCCAGGGATGGGGCAGTCACAGCTTCTCTGGGCAACCTGTTCCAGTGCCTCACCACCCTCAGAGTGAAAAATTTCTTCCTTAGATCTCATTGAAATCTCCCCTCTTTCAGTTTAAAGCCATTGCCCCTTGTCCTGTCACTACACGCCCTTGTAAAAAGTCCCTCTCCAGCTTTCCTGTAGGCCCCCTTTAGGTACTGGAAGGCTGCTATAAGATCACCCCAGAGCCTTCTGTTCTTCAGGCTGAACAGCCCCAACTCTCTGAGCCTGTCTCCATAGGAGAGGTGCTCCAGCCCTCGGATCATCTTCGTGGCCTCCTCTGGACCTGCTCCAGCAGCTCCATGTCCTTCTTGTGTTGGGGACTCCAGAGCTTAATTTTGTTTGAAAGAAATGAATGCTCTAGCCTAAAATGTGGTAAACTGAGTCACCTGAAATGGCTGATACTTTTTCACTTTTTAATCTGAAAAACTTTAATTGCCTCACCAAAAGCATTCCCTGCAAATATTCACAGGCTCCAAAATCTAAAAGAGGCCAAGTCCCAGAGAAAGAATTAAGATGAATGGAAGAGACCATAATGTGCTTAAACTCACTTTCTTCATCCTCTCAGTTTTAAACTGTGAACAGATTAGGAAAGCTTTTTGTGGTGTCTAACTTTTAGCACCTTCTGTTGAGCTCTCAGTGTAGCTCTTGACTTGCCTTTAGCAGCACCACATCTCTTGTGTTGAGGCTTACAAAGGAATCCTCAGAAGGCAATCCTCAAGGATTCGGCACTCCGTCCTAGCTGGAAAGGCCATTTTGTGCCTATTGATTCTTTTATAAAGTAAAAAAGGAGCTGGATTTGGATACTGATTTTATGTATATATGGCACATGAGGTGTTTTTTTGTTGTTGTGGGGGGTTTTTTTTGTTTGGTTGTTTTTTTTTAGACAACTGTGGTTTAATGCCACTAAGAATTGATTTCTGTCCTAGAAGCTTCTTTAGTTTGTTGCATTTTCATACCAATGCAGCATTGATATTTTGCAGAAGTTGAGTCTTTCTAATTATTGGCATTCACCCTGGCATGCACTATCAGTCAGTGGAAGCACAGATTCTTTGGAATGTATCTGGCATTTTTATGTTCTTGTGCATGCTGCTGTGTTGATTACTCTGTGGTGTCTGCTGTGAATTTGGACGTTCTGCAGTACATACCAGGAGGAAAGTTATCCAGCCCCATATAAGCATGGGATGAAGTGATTGAGAAGAGAGAAAGAAACATTACACAAATGTTTAGAGAGCTAATGCAAAATATTCTAGAGCTAATAGAAAATATTCTATTTCATTAATTTGGTTGAAAAGCCTGACTTTAGTAAAAATATGAATTAATTTCAAAACAAAAGCTTTGTTGTCATGATTTTGTGCTCTGTAATGTACTTGAAACTGAGCACATTGTTGAGGATGTTATTTCATGACTGTACCTGCATCCTTTGTAGAAACTGAAAAATTCTGAATGTGTTTAGCTGTGTGAGACATTAGCATGTTTTTATTTAACGGAACATTATTTGGTAAAAACATCGATTTGGGTTCAAAAGACGTTTTTGATGTTTCCTGGCAATCCCCCCCTAATTAATGAAGTGAAATCATCTCCTGGTGTTTGAATATCAAGAATACGTTGTTCATGCTGTCAGACTTTTTGATACTGTTACTTTTTTCTCAGTATAGTGTGGAATTTATAATGCTTATGAAAATGCCCCAAGAGTGCAACTGGATAAACATATTTTATGACTAAACGAAAGTTTTTATAGAAACATTGAACTTCCCAAGGAAAATTAAGGATAATCTTCTAAATCGCCCTGGTGATCTGGCTGATAGTATTGCAGAATGCCTAACCAAACCAATGTTTTCCTAGCTACTCTGGGAAACTAGAGACTCAAGAGTTTTACCAGTCCTTGTCTTGAGGATAAAATGAAAAACCTGCTCTAAAATATGAAAAAAAAAAAAAAAGTGACTTAGAATTCTAACTCCAAGTCACGTTGGTTCTAATTATTTATAAATGTAGCTAAATACATGGTGGAGTTGTTCACCTGAGGGATATAGAACCTTTTGCCTTTATCCAGTTTTCCACAGCCTGTAGATATTTCCTGTTGAAATAGTTACCATCAGTGTTGGGGTGGCACTGCTTACTTTTCTGGCAGACAATATCAGCATTCATGTGCCTATTTCCCAATCCCTTTGCTCAAAAAGGAGAAAGCAATGTGCTTGCTGTTGATCTGGGGCCCTAGAGTCTGGGTCCAGCTGTGTTTGAGTCTGGTTTTCATCTAGGGTGGTGTTGGTGCAGTTGTTCCGAAGATCCGGGATGAATTGTGGAGTTGGTTTGGTAGCGAGAGGGTTCTAGATAGGGCTTCCAGCTTGGCTTGTGGTTCTAGAGCAGATTCCAGGACACTTGCTGGTTCTAGATCACGTATTGGTTCCAGATCACTCTAGATGACTTGTTGGTTCTAGAGCGGGTTCCAGGTCACTTGTTGGTTCTAGATTGGAGTTCAGTTTGGTTCCTGATAACAATGTAACTAGTTTGGGATTCAATTTACTTACTGGTTCCTGATCGTTATGTACTCAATCTCATGTTCAGGAAGATGGTCTTAAACTTCTAGCTCACTTGTTGGGTCAAGACAGTCGTTTTGTTTTGGATTGCGGCCCAGCTTATTACTTGGTTCAAGAACATGTTCTAGAGCGGTTTATGGATCTAGAGCTTTTTCTAGCTCGTGTTCTAGGTCGCTTATTGGTTCTGGGGTGGGTTCTAGATCGGTTATTGGTTCTAGAGCGAGTATCAGGACGGGTTCTAGAGGAGAGGGTGGAGTTTTCTTTTCTTTTTTTCCTCTTTGGAGAGGAAGCCTCATAGAATGGTGATCCTGTCATCCTCCTATAACTCCTAAATTGTGGCCATTCTTTTCTCTGTCTATAGAGCCAGCATATAATATTGAAAGAATACATTATGTTATAGATTATAATACTAAAATAATAGGTTATTATCAAACATCCTATGCATGTTAAGTATCTCGTAACATTCCTGTAGCTGAGACCGTAATCCTGCGCATCACAGCAGAGGAGCAATTACCTGCCATTTGTGAGAGTGAAGCACAGTTTCACCAGCAAGCAATTGGAGGAAGGATTTCAGGGTGGAGAGACTGATAATGCATGATACTGATACTCTTTGCTCTAGGCTGTGTCTAACCTCAAGGACTGGGAAGACCATTTCTGGGTTCAGTTGCTTATTTTGACTGCATACTGACTCTGCAGTGACCCAAAGACTGACCAGACCCCTCTGCTCCAGTTTCACATAGGATGAACAGGACATCCAAGGATCAGGACCGTAGGGAATGCAGAGAGTTTTCATGTCCTTATACACCTCCCTCCTTGGGCTACTTTATTTAAACACCTTTAGCTCACACAAAAAGACTCCAATGGTAGGACATGTACATACTAAATGCGTACAGTAATTATTTATTGCCAAATGTCAATAAAAGACAAATGACACTTAATGACCTACCAGGCTAAGCATTAGCATGCTCACCACCTCCAACAGCACTTCCAGGGGAGTTCGGTAGGACAGTCAGATTCCCCCTCTCCCTCAAACATAGACTCATAGAATGGTTTGGGTTGGAAGGGACCTCAAAGACCATCTAGTTCCAACCCCCCTGACATGGGCAAGGACACCCTCCACTACATCAGGTTGCCCAAAGCCTCATCCAACCTGGCCTTGAACACTGCCAGGGATGGGGCAGACACAACTTTTCTGGGCAACCTGTTCCAGTGCCTCACCACCCTCAGAGTGAAGAATTTCTTCCTTATATCTAGTCGAAATCTCCCCTCTTTCAGTTTAAAGCCGTTGCCCCTTGTCCTGTCACTACATGCCCTTGTAAAAGTCCCTCTCCAGCTTTCCTGTAGGCCCCCTTTAGGTACTGGAAGGCTGCAATAAGATCACCCCAGAGCCTTCTGTTCTTCAGGCTGAACAGCCCCAACTCTCTCAGCCTGTCTCCTTAGGAGAGATGCTCCAGCCCTCTGATCATCTTCGTGGCCTCCTCTGGACCTGCTCCAGCAGCTCCATGTCCTTCTTATGTTGGGGACTCCAGAGCTGAACATAGTATTCCAGGTGGGGTCTCTTGAGAGCAGAGCAGAGGGGCAGAATCCCCTCCCTCGACCCGCTGCCCACGCTGCTTTGGATGCAGCTCAGGACACAGTTGGCTTTCTGGGCTGCCAGCGCACATTGCTGGCTCATGGTGAGCTTCTCATCCACCAGCATTCCCAAGTCCTTTTCCTCAGGGCTGCTCTCAATCCATTCTCCGCCCAGCCTGTACTTGTGCATGGGATTGCCCCGGCCCACGTGCAGGACCTTGCACTTGGCCTTGCTGAACTTCATGAAGTTCTCACAGGCCCACCTCTCCAGCCTGTCAAGGTCCCTCTGGATGGCATCCCTTCCCTCCAGCGTTTTATAAAATAGTGTATCATTGTTGGTCAGAGAGAAGAAAACACACAAACAATGTATTTCTGAAAGGAAGGAAGCGTTTTGTTCCAGAGAGGCTTTAGGACGGTTTTATCACCAGTCAGACAAAATCTGAATAAGCTCCTGGAAAAGCTGCCAGTAATGCTCCTACTGCAGGATGCTCGTTTACCAGCTGGTACCCAACAGCTGGTCCCCTACCAAGACTCGGAGGGCACTGCCCAGGCTCCCTCACCAATGCCAGGGAAAATACCCCAGTCTCCCCGACCACAGCAGAGGCAAGGTCCACATGAGCACAGCAGAAACGACGGGCCTATTGCACTGCCTGAACTGCAGTGGTTGGGCAGCAGCTTCTGGGCAGGGACCCTGGAATAATACCGATCATGTGATTTGAAGCTTCTCATGCAAATCAAAGCAAACCTCTCATGTTTGCTTTTTCTTTCACTCTTCTAAGTTCATCCCCTCTGCTATCCTTATCTCATCCCAAGTAAATAACCTAAATGATCAGATCAGCACTTTCCAGAATGGAAAGTCTCTGCTTCCCAGGGAGAATGATGGCCACAAGGAGCTATCCGCACCCTTATCAACACCAACAACAAAGGAGGACTCTGAAGTTGCAGAGAAAAAAGGAGTTGCTCTTTATAGGACCTAAATGAAGTTGGGAATGCAAGATGCTGTGGGAGTTATTTCTCAGGATGTTAAAGAAATGTCTGTATCCCTAACAAGATTAGCAGAAGCTGAGAAATGTGTGCAACATTGTTGAGGATGATGTTCTGGTTGTTGTTGAAGCAGTTGAAGGACTGAACGCAGATGGTTGCGGGTTATAGAGAAAAGGTATTCACAGAGGAAGTAGCAGTTTCAAAAGCAGAAAGCAAGATCTGGAGACTAAAGTCATAATAAAAATCCTATCGGTATCACCAAGATAAATGTCATGGTTTGAAGCGGGGGGGGAGGTCCGGGTGGCAGAAGCTGCCCATCAGACCGGACTCCCGTCCCCCTCGGGGCTTGAGCCAATCAGCCCCTCTGCGAATTGCCCTATTGACGTCGGGACAGAGGAGCTGGAAAGGTGTGCCGGTGCCCAGGGGCAAGGAGAGGGGAGGGGGGG